GAGTGGAGCTCCCTGCAGCGGGAGGGTGTCCTGGGGGTGTCCCCAGCAGCCAGCGCCAGGGGGGACCCCAACACCAGGCAGCTCTGGCTGGGGTGACACAGGGTTTCTGGAAAGCAATGGCCAGAAGCAAGTGCAGGTCCTCGGAGCCCCCTTTGCATTTCTGAATTTGTTTTCCCATAGTGAGAAGGTAGGGCTCAAAGGGAGCCTGTCCTTGTGAGTGGCACAGTGGTGTGACCTGCTTCTGCCTTGCACTGGCCCCCAAAACTTGACATGGGTATCAGAGAAGCAGCCCACAACCAGCCCCAGCAGCTATACCCCCTTCAGGATGTAGTAGCAGCAGGAAACTGCTGGGTACCTGCAACCCCTTGAAGGAGGGAAGATTAAAATCCCTCAGAAAGTCAAGACCTGAGGAGCATAGCAAGCATTAACGAGCTTATTACAGATGCCTCTAAGACAGAAACAAGAAGTTTAACATACAACAGGAGGTGAAGCTGCAGCAGTACTTGCTGGAGAGTGTTTTTGATGCTCCATCTTTGAGGCAGGACAGAAAATGGCATTTTTTTGATGCCACATCTTTGGAGCAGGGCAGTAAAAGTCAGTTTTGATGCTACACGTTTGAGCCATGGCTGGAAGCAGTTGCACTTGGCCTGGTATGATGCAATCCCATGAACCCTGAGTTTCCTTCCTTTTTCCCATTTTGGACACATTTTGCTTTGTCATCCCCCACTGTGCTGACACTGCTGGAGGAAGGCACGTGGTGCCTTCCCTCTGCCTCAGCAGCTTGCACCCTGCAATGGCTCACGTGGGCCTGTCCCCACTACCCCTGACTTAGCTAATTCCCCCTCACCCAAGGTGTCTGACCAAGTTCCCACTGGCACTGTCCAGGCATCATCCAAGGCAATGGGTTGGAGTGGCAGAGGATGTCTAGGACCACCATCACAACCATCACCAGATCCTTGTCCCCAACACCAGCTGCCTCTGAAGCAGGCAGCTGTGCACAGTGAGCAGGGCTGGAGGTGGGTGCTTGAATCCCTGCACCAAGCTGGGTGGTATCTGACCTGCATAAAAGTGGGATGAACATCTGTACCTGCTTACCAGATGTGTTCAGCATCCCATAATTAATGTTTCCTCAGCAATTGTGGCTGATGGGTGCTTAGTGTTATTAGCCAATGATGAGTAGCTGATGTTGTTGATGCTGCTACCTCAAAACATTTAATTTCAGTATCAGACTAAGCAAAAGGGCCAGGAGCCAGACTGGCAGTGCCAAGTCCCTGATGGGCTTTGTGACTTTGGAGGTGGCTTCCTACCAAAGCCTTGCACACAGGCATCCCTGCCATGCCCCAGCAGCCCTGAGTTTGGACCCACATGGTGGCCATGGTGGCACAGTGGGGCCAGCAGCTCCCTTTGCTAGGGCGAGATGTGCAGAGCCCCCAAGCCTGGGGAAGCAGGGGTGGGCTTGGGGACATGGATGCAAGAAGATATTCAGGGGCTTAATCCAAACCCACTGAAGATTTTTTACGTACTTAACCTATTCTGAGGCATGCGTGTAAGATCAGATAAAACAACTAAATGTCCATAGAGGAGCAGTGAGTTATCCCAGCCCTCCTCCCACACTGCTAAACATGGGGTGTGACAGACAAGTGCTTGCACAGAGATGCTCATTTGTTTATTTTTGGGGGAGGGAAAGTATTGGTAAGAGTGCTGCTTGTGAAGCCTTAACCACCCCC